GGGTCGGGGTGGGGATTGCATTACCCATCCCCGCTCCCGCCCGACTTTTAAAGCGGAGAAAACCCGAACCCGACCCCGCCCCCGGTCAACTCAGGGTTTCCCCGTCAAACTCGGGGCGGGGACGGGTCGGTCCCCACGGGTACGGGTTTAATTGCCATCCCTACTCACACTATTAAATTAGATAAATGATTATTACAAAATTGAGACTATAAATACAATATTCTTTTAGCAATTTTAGAGTAATTTTGGGTCAAAACTTAAATGCTCATTCTTCAATAAATAACCCTAACAACATTATTATATTTATATGGGATGATTGTGACGAAGGTAGTAGTCAAAGTGTGTGACAAAATATCTATAACTAAATATCTTAGGAAGGATGGCATGTGATATTCCTTAAGTGGGGTTACATCTAATAATGTTTGAGCTAATTATTTAAGAAAAATATTTAATACAATAAATTGAATCATATGCCTACATAAGGTTTAGTTTTGACAAAATTGTTGAATTAAATAAAAACAATAAAAAAGGAAGAGTGAGAGAGAGAGAGAGAGAGTAGTGGAGTGGAGGAGAATAAATGAAAAGAAGTGAAGGAAAAATGAGGTTGACCCAACAGCCGCCCATGGCCCATTTAGCAGGGATTCTGAGGATGGTGGTGTGGGCCCAAATGCCCAACGAATAATAGATAGTTCCCTCTTATCATAGGATAATCATGCAACCACGCCACTACCAACCTTTCCAGCCATGTAAATTGTAAATCTTCAAAATTTTGTCAATAAGATTTTTTTTTTTAAAAGAAATCATATTTAAATATGAAATGGGTAATCAAAATTTAACTAAAACCACCTCAAATCAAGAAATTAGAAATAAATAAAAATACAACAAATTTGAACCAACTCAATTAAATTTTTTTATTTTTATTAAATTAGATGATGGGTTTATTCGGTATATGAGTGAACATTTAGAAATATTTTCATGTATATTATTTTTTAAGATAAATAATAATTGGATATAGTTTTGTAATGATGAGGATAGAATATGAGGAATTGGAGAGGGTGCACTTTTCCTTTTGGGAGTGGGATATTTTAAGAGGCCTCCATGTCACTCTCAAATTTATAATAAGTTGGGAAGTTAGTATCTTCCTCTTATTGCCAATTTTCCATCAATAAGCATCAACCATGTGTTGAGCTGTAAAATGGTCGAATACAATTAGAATCAAGAATCAAGAATCAAGAATTTCATTCTTTGTCCTTCTGAGCCATAACTGAATCTGAGGTTTTTTATTCTCTTATTTGTTTTTTCCAGCAACAAAAGAAAATCCACTTTAACACAATCAACCCTACCAAGTTGTTAAAATGTGTGAATTTGATATTCCAAAGAAAGTGGGAAAGACAGAACAAATCACGCATGGTTGTTGCTCTTTTGGCTTAGCTGTGGAAGAACCCTGAATTCCTTTATTCCATCAAACTTGGAGGAAAAGGAAAACCACTATCTTTCACATGCCAATCTTTGGAGCATTCATTGTACGTATCCTAGGTTTCTACTGCTCAAGGAACCACGAATTTATCTGTTTATGGCAATTGCAAAAAGGTTCACTATTAGAGTAATAGTTTTTAAGTTATTTTATAAAGTGATTGTAACCTATTTGTAGCTTTAAAGGACTCGTGATTGTGGGTTAAAAGTGGGCAAATAATAGCATAGCATGTGTTTGTGAATAGCAGTTAACATGTGGAGATTAGGTTGAGGTGAGGATAAAGAATAAATGCATCAAATTTTTTATTTGTACCAACTTGCCTTTGCCTACCTATCTATCTAACTTCTCCACTACTTGCACATTTTATTCTATATTCATATTTTGAGACCCTACAGAATCTACACTTAGGGCATGCCCAACAAACTTAGCCCACAAAGTTTAAATCCTACTTATCAATTTGCTTTATTATATTATTATTATTTTGTCTTTCAATTAACTACAATATCTCCAATATTTGCTATATATGCCTAGGAATGTATACCATTTTCATATGTAATTTTTTTTTCATGTAGTTCTTAAATGTTAATAAATGAATAAATTTTTTAAATTTAGTTTTACTTTATATTAGTCTTTCATTTTAAATTAATGCTACATATTATTATAAGAATATATATATATATATATATATATATATATATATGTGTGTGAACTAATTTGTATTTTAATAATGATAAATAGAGACTAATTACATTTTATAATGATATGTAAAGATATAACCAAAATAATTATGAAAGTTATTTTTAAAGATTTTATTTAAATTTTATTTCATTAATACCTAATTAACCATTCTACTTTTTAATCAATGTAAATGAATACTTAATTTTGTCTAGATTCAAGAACATTTAATTAGTAAAGTATAAAAAAATATGAATAAGATAAAGTATTCTCCTTTAAAAAAAACAAATAATTATCTTTCTATTAAAAACAATCAATTTTAATAGATATATTTTTATTGAGAAAAATGTGTTGTACTATTTCATTATAAAATTATTATTTTCATTTTTTTCAACTAACACAATACCATTTTGGTTGAATGAATAAAGTCTGTGTGTTTTCCAGACACATTTATGTTTGGGTTGCCTTGGAGTGAATTGGGCTAGAGATGGCTTGAGAAGAAAACTAAAATATATTACATTCCAATTTTTTAGGCCTTCTTGACAAAAAGGCTCCTGGGCCCTTTCATTTGGCCATGAGGCTTAAAGCCCAACTTTGTAGATTTTGGATACTAAATCTTATTTGTTTTATCAACCATTATTTTGGATTCTTCAATAAAAAAAACTTTTGGATTCACAAATGAAAAAGTTTTTTCTAACACTTTCAGATATTTTATTAATTTAGAAGTTTTTTAAATTCACCCTTTTAAAACTAATCTAAAACTTAAAAAATATACTATTTTTCTGAATTCATTCTTTAGAAATTTTTTTAGAATGAAGTATAAAAAATTAGTTTTTCAGAATATTTCTGAAAATCTTATTCTAGAAAAATAAATATCAAAAATATTATTCTTAATATAATTATCGTACACCATTTTTTAATCACACACATAACACTTGCCACTCCACTGTCCTTCCTATTGGCATAAACCAACAAAAAGAAATTCTAAAACTTTAAATTGTTTGAGTGAATATACAAAATAATTATATATTATATTTCTAATAAGTTCTCTCACACTCATACAAGAATACCTTAGATTTGATATGTGGAAATATCACAAGCTTACCAATTTAACCTTTATAATTTTATGAGTGAATCATTCTATTAGTTTAAGCTATTAGTGAAATATATGAATGATTTTATATTATATTTCTAAGTTTTAGGGTTTGTTTAATCACATCATATAATAAAATAAAATAAAATAATAGGATAAGATATGATATGATAAAAAAAGACTTGGTAAACTATAATCATATTTAATGTTTGGTAGATACAAAAATAAAAGACAAAATAATATACGATATATTATAAATTATTTTAAAATTCAAATTTTCATTAAATTAACATTTAATTTCCAATTTTTTTTCATTTATTTGTTTTACAAATTATGGAAATTAAAAAATATATATAATTTTAAATAAATTATACAAAATTACATGTTATCATATAACTACTTTTATATAATGTAAAATTGTAATTAATATCTTTAAAATGTTTAAATAATTGTTATTTAATTTTAATATTTCTAATATATTAATATTTCAAATCTATGTGTCACAATAATTATAAATATCTATTTAAATATAAATAGTTATAAGATAATATGCTAAATAAAAAAAATTATGATATGTATATATATAAATTATTTTTTATATAATTAATTTTTTCTTACAATTTAAAAAGTTTGAATGATAATTTTTTTAATTTTAATTACCATATATATACATATAAACTCAGGACATAAGTGTAAGAAAATTCATTAAGAAATAAAAAATGAAAAGTGTTAATACAATCTTATCCTGATATTTAATGCAAACCACTTTTAAATAGTTAAACAATACTTGTTTTATGAGAAGCATTAAATTACATACTCTTGCTACAATTTCTATTAAATAACACATTTTATTTAAAACAAAAACATTATAAATGTTCTAATATTTTTCAACAATAGATTCTTAATTCCATAGCCTACTTATTCACACTCTTGGACTAATAATTTAGTCATCAATAATATAATTTCAATCACCCCTTCTTTTTCTTGTGCCTGGTCCTGTGCATGTTAGTGTTTCAGATTGACACAAATGAGAGAGAGGTTTGATTCAAGCAGCATGCTTGTGTTTGAAGTCCAGTATGAGCAGCAAGAACAGTAGGGAGCACTCACCACCATCACTACTTTTTCACTTAATGCTGTAACTTCTTGTTGCTTTTTCAGCGTGTAAAAATGATCTTCATCTGTTGAAGCAACACCTTCATTTTCATGGAAACAATAATAATGTTATATCAGTTTCCTTTTGTATCAGTGGATTTCACATGCTCTCAAAGTCGAACTCCACTCTAGCTACGTTTTTGGCTTTTCAATTTTCATTGCATCCTCGATGCTTACTTAGTCTGTTCTATACTGAATCTAAACATGTGTCGCATTATGACCGGAGATGTTATCTTGTTACAACATTTGAATTTTGTTTTTGTTTTGTCCAAAGATTTTCAGACTTAATAATTCACTATGATCTTCTGTCATGTTGTCCTTTTTCTCTCATTTCCCCCACTTACTTGGTAAACCAATCATTTTTCAGAAATGACAGATTAATGGAACTATTGGATAACATGGTATTGTTATCATTAGAGAATAAACATTGGAATGTAGTCCATTGAATTTTGATCACACCCACTACTCTATAAAACAATTGGGGATTTTAAATTATGCCCAGTTGGATATACTGTGAAAAAAATAATACTGAGAAAGATTACTCATATCCAATGAATGGCTTCATTTCCTTATCCTTAAAGTTGTTCCATGCCTTTCTACCCAAAAATGTTGAAGGGCATGAGGGTTTACACTGATATGTTTGTTTTGGATTTGCTATGGCAAGATACAGTTCAACCCATCCCAAGCAAAAAAGTTGATGAGTACGAAGAGTTAAAGGTTATGAGCATAGGATGCCCCAAGTAATGGGGTATGAGAATATTGCAAGATTTTATTTTATTGTTTGGAAGGGAATACTTTGTTTCACTTGAAACATGAAAATGATCGTGAACCAGAAAAATGAAATCAAATTTGATTTTGAATATCTTGTAAGATTCTGGGTCATTGTCATGCACATACTTGATGTATCGACACATGAAAGAGCTTTAGTCCAAGTGTCCAATATGGAAATTTGTAGTGTAAACTCAAATTGGCAAAAAGTAGAAATGGGTACATGAAATTATTACATAGTTAAAGATGAAACATTTTCACAATTAAGATGAAGGAGCGAGGAATTTATAATTAATCAATTCTGGTTATAAGGGTGTAAAGATGAGAACAAAGGCGACACATCTAAAATGACGGCACGCCCAAAATAAAGAAACACCGTCAAAGCTTAAACATCAAGTTCGGGAAACACTTTCTGTGTTGGCATGCAATGATATTGTCTCGTGAATTTTTTGAATTTCCCCCTTTTCTAATATTGAATCTTCTCAAAGAAGGATGGGTTGTTGAATGAAAGGTGAAAATGTTTGTTGATAAAATTAGGAAAGAGATCCACGTAGGATCAACATCATTTCTTTCCACTCTAATGTTACTGTTCATTGAAGTATTTGTACATTGTTGCAGCAAATCTTAAAATTAAATAAGTTCAAAAATGCCACATTATCTTTGATTACCCGTACATATTTGGATTTTTTTTTATAAATGTTAACTAATTTTATAAAGTTTTTTGAAGTTGGATCATAATCCTTACTTAAGTAAAACATTAATTAATAGGATTTCATTTCATGTATGAGATATTTTTAAATTTGAAAGTTTACTTCATTATCATATATAAAAATGATAAAATTGGTTACTCCCTTTCTTTCAATGTCAATAATTGAGAGAATAATCAAGACAATCTAAGAATCCTAATTTTTTCCGTTAAAAGTGGAATAATGAATAATAATAAATTTTGATCAATAATTTAAAAATATCAAATAATATATTATTATAAAATAGTAAAAGAAGATAAGAAAGTTATAAGACAAAAATTGTAAACATAAATAAATATATATATTTAATCATTATTAAATTTAAAATATTAAAATCATAAATATATATAAAAGTTATATAATTTTGGGATCACCACTTTCATAATTCCAATAAAATCCATAAGGTCAGTCTGTTAATATTTTTTTAAATACATCTTTAATGATATAAATATTTTTTTAACTTTTTATTTATTAATTAATATTTATATTAGATGAATTAAAAAATTTATTATATTTATATATTAAAATAATTAATTATAATAAATATTTTAAATTTAATTGATTAATATTTATAATTTAAATTATAATATTATAATATATTTACATATTTTTAATAAAAAATATAATATTTTTAATTATAAGTCTTTTTATTTTAATTTTAATATATAAATATTTTTTTAAACTAGGAAACTCGTCTTTAGTCCATTATTATATCGACAAACTAAATCAAAATATATTAACATATATTTTTAAGATAAACTAGACCTAATTCGTTATACTATATATTCTTAAAAGATAAATAGTAGCTTGAAAAAGAAGGTGTACTCTTAATCTCAATTTATAAGCAATTTCGATAAATAATATTAATTCAAGGGTTGGAATATTGATAGGTTTTACTAAAAGAATGTTACATAAAGTTGCTAAACACACTTGTATAATAAGCAGATCCCACCCATCATACGAAAAACACATTTTAAGAATCTTCTTCGTTTATGGATGCAAATAAGATCTATACGGTTCACAAAATGCAACTTAAAAAAGCATCATAGCATAAGAAGTTAAAGTTGAGTAGCCTCAGTGATCTATGAGCATTTGGTTGGTAGCACCAGAGTGGTTGGAGTGGCTTAGGACTCATCGTAGGATACAAAATGAGAAATAGTATTTGTAATTGAAATTCTAATACAGTAATCAGTGGCTTCTAGCTGGCTCTTGGATGCATATTAATTTTGTCAATTAGCTACTTTTGCAGGGTCAATCCAGCATATAAAGGCACTGAATTGAGAAATCTTGGGAGGCCTAAACTGAATTGATTGATGGGTACCTTTTTCTTGTTTTCAAAAAGAAAAATGTCCATGATGTGTTATTATTCAACAAAACAGGCTGTCCAAAGGAAAAATAATGGCATGAGTCGGTGGATGCATAAATGAAATGTAAAATAGAAGCACCAAGGATTGGAGTGAGATGGCAAAGTCATGGCAGCGACTCATGGCCATGTTCAACTTGACAAAATCAACTTTGAAGACGTAAAGCCCCTCATGCCAATTTTAAATCATAACTCAGAAATGATGGTGTTGGCTGGTTGAATAAATATCATAAAATTAGCCACTTTAGACAGAACTATTTCAAAATTCATGGATTGCACCCCAAAAGTGCTTACTGTCTAGCACTTAATTATTCACACGTATTATGTCAGTATGGAGGGAGGCCTTAAAAATTGGGCACACCAACCTTTCTAAGGTATAAAAATGTAAGAGAAGCCAAACTAACTATTACAAGGAATAAACCTTCTTATGGCAGTTGAAAAATAAGCTAAGATATATAGTAATACCATATAGTCTATAATGAAAATTCTTACTTCTACATTTCCAAGTTTTGTCCCCAATTAATATATTTCCACAAGAAGTAGGCCTAACCATCATACCTTGCAGAAAAAGAGACATGGAGAAGACCTATTAAGTATAAATTCTCCATTTCTATCTTGTATTCTGATCATATATATAGGTGGCATGGTGAAAGTGCATATGTCCAAAACTGAAATTGCTTATTCAACAAAATGGAGACTTGTTATCTGTTCTCACCAAGCTCACACTGCTGTCATGTCATATACTGGCAACACCGCTTGAAGAGTAGAAACACCAAAATCCAATCGCATTCAACAGGGTGAGCTCATAGCTGCTCATACTCGTGTATACATATAGTGAGGTCACATAAGCACAAGTTGGCATGAGTTGTGCACCTTCTGGTGTCATGTAGTGAATTTAATATTGGGAACTTAACATCCACTTGCATTCAAAGCCAAAAAGATGAGCTCACGGAAACTACCATGCTATATGGTCACACAAGCTATATTCAGATTTTGGCATCTTGCCAGTAGTTTCAGGAGCTGCATTATTCTTAAAAACAAAGTTGCTTGTGGAGTATAGGTATTGCCTTCCCCATGATAATTAATCCATTATGTATCAATCAGATCAACAATGATATCATCATCTAACTACATAGGCATCCATGGTTTCCACTTCAACTGGGTTAAAACAAGGTTGAAAAATATACCTTATTACATTTTTACCTTGAGGAACATGAACATCACCTTATTTTGGGGTTCAATCAATTAGTAGAGTGGTCAAAATTTACGTAAGAGAATAGGATGATGGGCTAAAGTTCAGGGAAGTCAAAAGGTGCAGAATTTGACAAAAATAGTATAAAGGTCTTTCATTCTCAATGCTTCAAGGCGAGAAATAAGAAGAGACGCTATTCTATGATCAATTATCTTAGACTCTTAGCCGCAAACTAAGTTTATTGGCATCCATCTGTGCCTTTAGATTTAAGTTTGATGTTGATTTGAGACATTTAATCCTCTGCTAATTGCTTCCACCCCCTAATATGAACTAAAAAATTAGACTCTAAACATCCACAGAAAGAAAATAATGGCAAAAGAATTTAGTTGATGCTGAAAGGAGGCTTAAAAGTGAAAACAGTTGTATTTGGTTATATTAAAGACAATTAATGTGACTTCTCCAAGTTTAAACACACCTAAATAAAGGAAATTTTAGTGCCTTTTACAATGAGGCAGAGCTGTAGATGTTAATACTTAAAACGAACAAATTTAGCTTCTTTAGAATTGCGTACTATTTTCAGATAGTGAAAAACAATTTTTTTTTTTAAAATGGAAAGGTCCTCTAAACGAGTGATGAATTGTGAAGGAAGACAGCACAGAAGTAAATCACCCCAATGGTAACAAGAAAGCAACTTATGGTGCAGAAAAGATGGTGCCAGTTGACGAATTCACAGATGTAATTTGCTAGTGCTGTTCCACAGAAAGATTAAAATTTCCCAGATGATAAATTAAGTACTAATACCAGATCCAATATAAAATTTGACAAATATGATTATGAAACTATATCATCAAATTCACAAACAAACCGATCAGCACTCCATCCTGACCTAGAGAAGAACAAAATAATCAACACACCTCTGAATTAAACAATAGTTTAAGGCCAGACCAAAGCAGTCAATCCATCTGGCTATGCAATTCCATTCCACCTGCAAGTTAACACCATCAACAACACACAATTATAACCCAAAAAAAAAAAAGGAATAGCACAGACCAAAAGTAATAAAAACAATAGAAAAAGACTTATTGAAGCACCTGTATCTGGAGACTTGAGTACTGGGGAGAAGGAACAATAAGGGGGGCATTAAACCAAATCCAGTTTCTATTGAATTCTGAGACACCTAATTTTTCCTCACAGTCTCCCAACTATACAATACAAAACCATTGTAGAAAACTCAGCATCTGGACGATGCTATTTTCTTTTTCTTTCTTTCATCCAAATCCATAAAACTCTACTGTCCTGAGCCTTGAGAATCATCCTTTGCAGGAGTTTGTTGATGTTGTTGCTGATGCTGTTGCTGCTGCTGCAATCTACCAGCCTGACCCATCTGATGATAAATCTGGCTCAAGGCCTGTGGATTCAAGACCCCAATATGGCCATCCTGGGACAAACCCAGCTCCAAACCAGGCATCTGCTGGGCACCTCCACCACCCAAAATTGAGGTGAAACTCATGTGACCCATGTTGGTGGCAGCAGCAGGCAAGTCAAAGCCAGGGAACCCAATCTTTTGCAGGTAATTTGAACTCTCAGTGCCTAGGGTGGCATTAGATGGACCGGATGATGTCTGAAATCCAAATCCACTGACATGGGGGGGCCATAAGCCTGTGGCCACATGGGGTCTCCCCAAATTCCCCCCAACCATTTGCCAACTGGTCCTACTGCTCCCTGACCCCATATTGGCCCCTCCCAATTCATCAATCTTTTGGTGCAACCCTGATGAAAGAGAGGCCCCTTGTGGTGAAACCGAGTTGCCAGCAGCAGCCAAAGCAGATGCTGGGATTGTGCCTGTCCCAGTAGCAGCTATTATCGATGGCTCAGCCTGCTGAAGAAGCCACTGGATGGTTTCCCCATCAGATTTGTGACCCAATTCTCTGGTCAACTGGAAGATTCTAGCTGCACATAGAGCAGGCATCCTTATCCTCCTCCCCCTCCCTTCAACCTTGGTGTGCCTGTCTTTGTTGGAACTCCTCTTTGGTGCCAACTGCTTCTTGCTCTCATCCTTCTCAGCAACCACTATCTGGAAATCCTTCACCTCTGCTGGCTTGTTCTCTCCCATGCTGTTATTGTTACCTTGTTGTTGTTGTGACGGTGGTGATTGTTGTTGGGGGAGGCTAAGAAAGTTTGGTACCACCTCCTGTGGCAGTGGCTGCTTTGAGCCCTTGGGATCCATCAACAGCACACAAAAGAAAAAGGATAAAAAAATAATAATAAAGGAAAGGAAATGATGGGTCCTCTTTGATTGAAGAAGGTGGCCTGAAAAGTCCTAAACTTTCGTGAGTTTTCACTGTTTCTGGCAAGGATTGAGGGACAAAACCATAAAATATTATAATCCCTATGTGCCCATGTCAAATTTTTCACTCCATGGTTTGGTTTGGTTCTCTCTCTCTCCTTCCTCTCTTGTCCTTTCCCACCTCTTTCTCGGTGTGTAGTAGAAGTGCGTTTTGACCAGCCAGATAATTTTGAAAGCAACTTTAACTGCCAGTTTCACCACCTTGGGGACTATAACTATAACCCTATCTGTGTACACACACCAACATTAAAACCCTTCTCACATTCCCTTTCGTCCCCTTCATTGTATCTTTCCTGCATCCCATAATTGCAACATCACTGTATACCTATTCAACCTCGAACACCCAAAAAAAAAAAACACCTTAATTGTAATTTTTAATCCCTAATCTGAACTTGTTCCCGCTATTATCGGTGCATAATTTTGTATTCAATATTTAATGAAAATATTAACATTGCATTCTCATACACTGTTGTGTCAGTACATTCATATTAACAAGTCAACAAATTTGTACTGACCTGACACCCACTTACACTATCATTTAAATGTTTGTGGGAAATATTCAAGGTTTAGTTAATAAATGGTTTGAAATGATTCAATTGAGTTTGAACGGGTGGAACGAAGTTAATCTGTGTTATGGTCTGCTTCAATGAACTTTTATATAAATGAAAATATGAAACAATGGACTCATATGTCAGGTTTTTCTCTCTCAAGAATTGAGATTTGAGAGGAAAATGTACTTTAATTCCTACTTGACCTAATTGTATTTTTGTCTCTATTTTAGTGAAACATAACAGATTATAATGAATTATGTTGTTTAAAAAACAATATATGTTTTAATTGATTTATAATTGAATATAGGTGATCCATAATCAATAATTTTTTTTTTCAATTTCTTTCCAAAAATAAAAAAAAATAATAATATTTTAAATAAAAAATAAAAATATTGTATATTTTCACTCATCACTCATTCTTACTCTATCTTAATTTACTCAAACAATCCCAGTTTTAATTTTTTTTATTCCTTTCCTTAATTTTTACGACATCATTCAAACAAAACAAAAATTCGATACACTCATGATTGACAAAAATTAAAAATTACCGGTCCATTAATAAATTAATATAAAATTCATGTATTATTTAAAAAATTATCATATAAATTAATTTTAATATACATGATATTAAAAAAATTGTACAAATTTTAGTATATATTATCATTAAGATTATCGTGAGATTTTTTTTAGTATATGTTTTTCTTTATAAGAGAAACTAATATCATAGTACAAGCTTCCTTATCGATAGTTTTACTTAAATACTCTTATATTGAAGTAATTATTATTTTTTTATTAAAAAATTAAATTAATAATAGGATCTTCAAAATTAAAAATGGACAATACGAGGTTGTTAAAATATATACATAAATTAAAAAATTTCTAATTTTGTTTTACGATGTAGTTTACTTGTTTATTTTTATACTAAAGAGAAAAAATTCATTTTAATTTATGTTATTGGAATTAAATTAGTAATTTGTATTTACATTTATCTTTTAGACATATTTTTAATGTTTTTTAGGTTCAATCGCTTTGGGACACTGTTTTGAATGCAAGTGAAGTGGATTTTGTAATCTTGTATTTGTACTTCTTCTTCCACTTTCCCTAAGAGTGTGTTTGTTTCGTTGCAAATATTGTTTTGTGGCGAAATCTAAGTGTTCCGTCACGGAAAAGAAAAATAAATAATGAAATATCATATTCATGTTATGTTTAGTTTGTACGTTTTAATCGTTTCATGTTACGAAATTTTGTTCTTTGCCATGCTTTATGTCTCTCTTCAAATTTTTTATTTTATTTTTTACGTAAGGATTTATAACAACTCGTAAATATTTGCTTAACTAATTGAGTTAGGTTCTTTTTAATATCTCTCTCTTCAATTTAAATTCATATTTGTTTTTTCGGTTTCAATTTCAAACATGGCATTTCATACCATTTACGTATTCTAGTTTTTTAATGCATATTGTTTTAGAGTATTCATAATACTTGCAACAAATACAAAATAATATATAAGATGTATTATAATAATAAAGAGAAATTTAAAATTTTATGTCTCAAATACCATTCTTAAGACCTTATTCTTTTAAACTATAACTAGTTTTTTTTTTAATATTTTTCAAATTTATTTTTAGTTCTCATACTTGTAAATTTGATTAATTCAGTTTTTTAATCTTTGAAAATATGTTATTTTAATTATTTTTATATTATTAATAATTTTAATATATAATAGTGATTCTTTATTATCACAAAAATTAAAAGCATTAAATTCATTTTTTTAAAGTTGTGTTCCTATTAAAAAAAAAATCAAATGAATGTTTAATCAAATTGGATTAAATAATTTACACTTTCGTATCATTAATGTTGAGTTCTAGATGATATTTAGAAAATAAATAAGTTCATTTATAAAGATACAATGTTTAAGTAATTGTTCATAAAAAAAAATTAATATAACAATATACTAGTAAAAAATAAGAATGTAGTTATATGTAAAAATAAAATATCATTCTATTTAAAACACTCTCATCAATATATTGTATATAAAAAGTTATATTATTTTTTTCTTGTATTATCAAATAATTGATTATATTTTAATTTATGTATGAATAACGTATATCTATTTGATTAATTATATTAAAATATAGGAATCCTTTATAATTTTGCGTCATGTATTTGAAATTAGAATTAACTAAATATGATCGAATTTTTAGTATTATATATATTATTATTATTCTCTATCTAAATCTTTATCCGAATGATTTTTTAGTTTCACACTTTGTTAAGTGAACACATTGACACAAAATATTTTTCTCTTATAGATATATTCATTATTTTGTAGTAATTCATATTTCTTCTATTTTTGTTTTTTTTTTTCAGTAGTTTGTTTTATGTTGAATCAATTATAATTGAACCCAAAATTTAGCATATTGATCATGAGTTTATAAGAGAAGAGAGTCTTTGTGACTCTTATAAAAGTTCCTCTTATGGGAAGGTTCCTTCCTTTATGAAGATTATTTATGTTTTAGTCGCATTGAAACAAAGAGAATTTATTTATCATAGCCTTTTTTTTTCTGGTGAAAGAAAGTTGAATGGTAAGTTTTCTGCTATCTCGAATCCTAATACAACTAGGTAATGGACAAGGTAGATTATGAGTTTGTTGTAGAGTCATTCATATTTTCGATTTTGTCTTAATGTTTTTTTCCATCTTCTTTAACTCTTTTTTATTCTTTTTCTTCATATATGCATAAATGTTCTCCTCATTCCTATGTTGAATCTCCCAAATATGAGTTTTGAAGCTATTAATAATCAAGTTTGTGTTCATATGATTGATGAGATTAATTACGTATTTGAACCATATTATTGCAATATGTGAGAATATCAGGATCTCACAATTCTTATTAAAAAAATTAAAAGTTTCAAATGAGAGTTATTTCAGATAAAATTTAGCAACTATCATCTTTAAGTCTTTAATGTTGAACTCTAATTAATATTTGAAAAAAAAATCATATATAAAAAAATCTGTGATATTTAAACTAATATAAATATTAGGAAAATTATAGTATAATAATGTATAAATAGTAAGAATGTAATTTCAAGTGTAAAATAATATATTGACTCTTGATTTATGTATTATACTAAATATTTATGTAATTAATTATATTAAATTTTTGAATTTTTATTTGATTTGATGTCACCTATATAATATTTAAGCTGGGTGAATAGAAATTTAGCATCTAATTAATATTTTTTAAAATATAGAAAACAAAATAACATTTGACAAATAATTTTTAAAATATAAAAAACAAAATAACATTTGACAAAACATAAAGATCACGAGGATATAGTCTTTTAATTCCACGAGTTAAGACAAACATCCTCCTTGAACTCGTGGAAGACAAATATAAAAAATTGCAAATAAAGTAAACTGGTAATATATGGTGTACAAATTTAAGATTCATTGAATGATTTTTTTTTAAGTTTTTTTTTTTTTTTCAACACTTGGCTCATTGAATGGCTTTGATATTCTACTTAGAGTAAGGTTTAATTCATACAATCCAATTTATTGTTAGTCACTTTGATATTATTCTATTCCATTATTTTTTTTCTTAATTTTGAATTCCAATTATATATTTATCAAGTCTTTGCGTGTCTAAATTTTAAATTTTTTTCAGTACATCAAAAATATTCTAAAGAAATATATTCTCTTATTAAGTTTAATACATTTTCTATTGAATATTATATTAATTATTTCATAAAATGTATGAATAATTAATTATTTTATACAACAAATGGTTGAAAATGTGGAATAATAGGATATTACATATGAGGAATTAATGATAAAGAGATTTTTATAAACAAGACATGAGTTAATTATAAAAAAAAACATGATACTATTTTTAATTCAAAATCTTAAAATATTATGTTATAATTTTTTTTATTATAAAATTTAATGTGAAATTTAACGTTTTAAATGATATTATGTACAAATAATTTTTCTTTTATAAACTATACTTAAAAGACAAAACAATGTATATTTTATATCAATAATTAAATTTTTCTGCTTTGTAGATTCATCAAATCTAAACGTGACCAGGATTATTTATGTCAATATCTCAACGATATTCCTATTCATATTTTTTTGATGAATAGTGATATCTTCACAATTTCTTTCTAACATATAATAATATAAAGAAGATAATAACTATTATATTATTAAAACAAACTGTAAAGAGGTTATTTTATTGAAAAAGAGTTATTAACCTATTCTATTTTTAAATTTTATTCCATACATATAATTTTAAGAAATTTTTTTATAATTATAATAATTATTTATCTTAA